AAATCCCTCTGCAAAAACCCATGACACACAGTGAGAGAACTACCTCCAGCACTTTCCAAGCTCAAGAATTAGCTTTTACTTAGGCAAAGAAGTACTAGTCAGTGACCTCTTAGGACAGAGTAAGGCACACACACTCTCATGGTTGTCTGTGTCTTTGTAACAGACAAATACAGTCGTTCCTATGTCCAGGTATCTCAGAGATGCACATAGTTCACAGGTCATGATGAAGACAGCAGGAGTTGTGATACCTCCGTAGCTCTGGAAAAGCAAGGCAACCAGCCCACTTCAAAGGCCAAACTATTTCCTTACAGGATGCAAAGCTACATAGCTCAGTAAACCACTACACCTGCAAAGATGGAAAGCTCCTCTGTCCTTAAAAGCCTCTTGCTCTAACAGAGCATGGATTCAGGCTTTAGACTCCATAGCTCTCACCTCTTGGGCAGCCCCAGTGTGTACAATAACTCTGGCCAGGCTCCCTTGGGTCCTTCTCTAGAAGCAGCTTTGCAAGAGACCTACATCTGGACAAATGCTTTCCCAGCGTAACATAATCTTTGCTGCTCCTGCGAACCTGGAACTTCTGGCAAACTCAGGTCCTTGTATGGAAAACTTTCTGTTGCATCCTGTGATAGGGCGGATCCATCAGGCTGTATGTGTAGGTCAGTGCTGAACACAGACATAACATATACTGTGTTTTGCTGTCCATAAAGCCAAACATCCTTCGAAAGTTCATCAGCCTGAAGGCAAGGATGAGAATAGACTCTGAATAGCCATGAAAACAGCTTGAAGTGACATTTTTTCCCCCAAGCTGAGAGAGATATAGGCAGCCCAAAGCCCTGGTTAGACTTTGTGCTCTTGCTGACTGCTGTTATCAAAAGGCAAGACAAGGAAGAACATGCAGGGCATAGTTACACTGTACATAAACCTGTGAGAACTCTAATAGACAAATTTTCCTTTGACTGCAAAACAAACCTGGGAAGCGGGACAAAATGGTGAGCACAGTAGCCCTGTGAAAAGGAGGCAAAGCATACCAAAGGTAACAAATTTATCGCCACCTGAAACATGGCTCATGAACTGCTTGGAGTCAAAGCTGATTACCAAAGTCATTAGCATCTGACTTTGATCAAAGAGCTCACAGAGGAGAGCAGGTAAGTGCAACAGATTATATTGTGAAATGTAGAAATCAGTCCTAGGTGTCCTCCTTTGCAGTCTGTCAAGTGTACACTTACTATATCAGGTAAAAGGGAGTTTCCTTGTAAATCCAGAGCCACACATGAAAAGCTCACACAGGAGACATCACCACACACAGGAAACCCATCAGCTTCCCAGATCTACATTGCACTTCAATGCATCCCCCTGTGGCTCTCAGGTAGCCAACAGAAAGAGGAAGGTCTGCTCCTCTCCTTCCCTATAGGGTAGAATGTAAATGGGGAAGGAATTGCCTAAATGTTGCAGACCATCTTTTTGGTCATGGTGTTCAGGCTTCTTTAGCAGTAGGCAGAAAGTCTTCACAAGGAGGATATGTGCAGCTTACAAGTATAAAGCAATTATTGATTGGCTAGAAACACAAAATATTACTCGTCTTTAATGAGCAACTCGGATGACCATGATGCTCACTATCCATAGAAGACACCTGAGGAGTCATTGGTGTCTAGGACAGTGTCAGATGGGGAAGAGCTTGCTTTTGAGGGTCCCTGGGACACAGCCTTTGTGTTACTGGGTTGCTTTCATTTCCCAGGTTGCTTGGCACAGATAGCTCTGGTAACCCTATCCATTACCCACTGTGGGTTTTTTCATTTTAGGATTTTATACCTTTACAAGTTGGTGTTTCCCCTTTGAATCCTTCAGCAACCAAAAAGTGTGTCTCAACAAGCTTAGTCTTGTGTGTGATTTTTTTTCCCTATTTTTCTGTGGATTTTCTTACAATTGCATCAGCAATTGCAACCAAGGGGACAAAGGGAGTTACAGATGGACAGAGCCTCTGGAAGTGGGTTGTGGTTTGCACATATTTGCTGCCACAATTTGTGGAACAGCAGAGAGGTGAAAGGGAAGTGTATGAACAAGGATAACATCTTATCAAATCCCAGCTGATTTTTGTGTGGCATCTCCCATCATCAGAAGCAGTTCAGGCATGTCTCAAGGGGACTCAAGAGGAGTAGAAGATGAGGTAGTGTGATGGACAGTTTTGCATGGAGGGCTGTGGCAAAGGCCTGCTTCATGACTGCAGTTTGGTTTTCCTGGGGACAGGAGCCTGGCTGCAGAGTATAACTCTACCTACAGGTCTCAAACAATTAGGACTCCTCCAGACCAGTAATGTCCCCTTTCTAGGTTGGTGTGTTTCTGCAGCTCAGACAACTCAAGTGAGAGTAGAAAGGAGATCACGTCACAGGCAACATTAGCAGTACCAGTGGTCCAGTATTGTGCATGCTGGGGAATCAGTAATGAGGTGGCTTTTCCAGGCAGTCTGCTTTGTGCATTAACCTGGGAGTCTGCAATTCCTTCATGGGACACACAAGAAGTAAACCCAAAGGCCCCACAGAAGAAAACACACACCTAGTGATGCAACATAGGGTGAGATGATGCAGTTTGCTTTTAAGCAGCTCATATATTTCCTGGCACTTCTGAGGTAGTTTCTTTGCATATGTTTTGTGAGGGTAGCTCTGGAAGGGAGGAAGGGGGGAAAGAGAGCATAAATGTAGCTTGAGGTGAGCAGACTGGTGTTTTTCCAAAGCGAATAAGGCAATTTTGGCCTTGCCACCTTGTTAGCCAACAAATACTGCAAAAAAACCCCAGTGTAATTTAGAATCAGAATGAACCAAAAAACCCATGCTACTTCAGGACTGTGGATTACCTTGTGGTTTTAGTGACAAAGCTTTTTGGATGTTGAGTGTCAATGGAGACTAGAAGTGGCATGGACTCAAGTGGAGCAGGAGAGGTGGTGATGAGAGAGACATTTGGCATGGAGGACAATGATAAACACGTGCTAACTCATTTTATGCATTAAGGACACAACTGGTGAGGGCCTGCACACCCAGGGAACAGTGTAGGGTTTAAGTGCCTGCCAGAGCAGTCTGCAATTGCAACATCTCCCACACCAAACACTACAGAAAACTATATACGCTTCTTAGGGCACACACAGTGACACATGAATAAGTAGCTCAGTCACCTGGAGGAACTGAGCACTGGCACCATGTATTTATCCTCATGAGCCTGGGAAGTAACTTGATCAGGAGAGAGCCTGAGACTGGACCCATAGGTAGGCAGTGGAGGTTCTCCTCAGAAATTTGGTAGGCCAACAGATGATCTTGTGTCGTGGTAAAGCTCCCTGTCTGGCTGTTCTTACAGCATACTTGCCATGAATGTTTGCATCCAGTTGGTGCCTCTACATTCCCACACTTCTGTGTTGTACCCTGAAGTTTGATCACTGCAGTCCAGCAATGATGGACTGCAGCTCATCAGGTTTGCTGCAGAGTTTCACAGCAGCTTTATCTGATACTAAACCATATCTCTGTCCTTTAGAGACTTCCTTATCTTCCTTGTAATGTAGCTAATCTGTGGTCTCTGCAGGAGTTCTGTTTCTCCTTGGCTAGGGAAGTGTGGGAAGAAAAAAATCAAAAATTTTATCTTTAATTAAAGAAGAGTAGTATACCAGGGGTCTAAATCATAGTTTATTTCAACTTATGAATAGGAATGGGGGTCATGTCAATGCATCATAGGGTGGCAATCCAGGAGAAAACAGGTTGAAGGTATTTCCACTTTTCCTTGGACAAGTGAGTCACCTGGGCCAGGTCATAGCTCTGCCTTCCCATATGTGCCCAAGGAAGCTGAGCTGAATCAGAGAGGGAAACTGTTGCTCTCTGGTAAGCCTCTTGGTTGAGACTGTGGTTTTCTTGGGGAGTGGCTCAAGTGGTCAGGCCTGCCCTCAGCTACAGCATCAAACCCAAGCTTCAGTACACCCTGGAAGCAGGAGTGCTCTCTGGAGAGGGAAGGGTTGAACACATGTTATGCTCTGACACCTCCCCATGAAGTGGGGCACACAGTGAGGCACACATGGAGTGGGGCACACAGGCAGACAGCTGGGCACACAGTGAGCCAGACCCACTGAGTACCCCAGCCTCAGATCCTGGGAAGTGCTGGGCATGCCTGTGGTGGTATTTGGAGCTGCGTCAGGCAGGGGTGTGGATCTGGGTATCTGCACCACCGTAACTCTGCAGCCCTGCTTTTCCATCCCACCTGTGGCAGTAGCACCACAGGGTCCTGTACTGGCAGGCTAAGTGCAGCAAGCTGGGCACCCTGTGGCCCCCAAAGCACTTGGGGACCATCTGGGAGAGGCTTTGTGAGTCAGAGCTGCTTCTCTGTGGCCTCTGCATGCAGGTGTCTACGTGCATGAACCTACAGACTCCCACTCTGTGCAGGCATCTCATGAGCTCCCTCTCAGGCAGGATTTCTGTCCTTTTGCCGCGTGCTAACTTCTGCCAAAGGCCAGCCTTTCCTTCCCTTTCAGCCTGAGCTAAGCTACATAACAACACTCCAAAGGAACAGCATTTCCAGCACCATTTCACCATTGCTTTGCAATGGCAGCAAATGCAATATAAAATCTCTCCAACTACTGATGTATCATACTGGAAGCAAGAAGGAAAAACTTGTGCTTTTGGTAAGCAGTCCGATTGTCCCCACAAAAATAAGAGCAATTTTTTATTATTTTCACTTCTGTTGTGATTGGTAGTGATAAATGCAGGAGATCTGTCAGTTGAAAAGATAGAAAAAATCCATTGTTGTCTGGGCCATATAATGCTGTTCGGTGGTTTTGCACTGAGCTCACAATCTACTCTGTAAAGTTTGTGTTTATTTACAGCAAGAGTTGGGGTTTTCTAAAAGAAACAGAAACTCTTCCACCTGTAATCAAATTGTCTCACAATTTTTCTTCCCTTTCTCCCCTGACCTCCCCTTCCCTCTCCTCTCACTTTCTTCTCCTCTCCTTTTCTTTCCCATTTTATTCAAAGGATGAGAAGAATCAGGTGTTGATCACAAATGCTTGGCTGCAGATGGTGAGTAACCTGTGTTAATAAAGAAAAATATTTTCTAATAGCAAAGTACTGAATGTTATTTTTTAGCTGAAAAACAAAGTTTCTGCCTTTTAACTTGTGTATAATGTGAAACAAGCAGGAACTTTGAATTCTTTGAAATTTCTAGTGTTCCTTTTAGCATTGAAAATTAAATGCAGGAGACTACATTAATCCTTCGGGCAGACCTGTTGACCTTTGGAGGGTGAAACCAAAGCCGGTGGATGCAGGGATCTAGTAACAAAGAGCCCAAAGTTAGGGTCCCACTGTAGCTGAAGGAGGGGTTATTCAAGGAGCTCAAGTCCCACTACATGGCCAGTGATGGGGACTTGTGAAGGAGCCAGACATCCAGCTGTTCTTTTGAAAGCAGACATGGAAGTACTATTTTGATGTGTAGTCTTCTAGACAGTGGATTATTTTTGTGTATGTTTTGTGTATGTTAATTTATATATGGATGCAACTTTGAGGATTACAGAAGGGTGGAACCTGACCTTAAACTTTTCAATTAGTAAAAGCTAGTACAGATACTCTAAGAAATAATTTAGCAGTTACCTAATACCTTGTGCATAATGGGTGAATGTATTAATAACAGACTGAGCTCATAAAAGAAATTTCTTCTGGGGCTACGATTCTCTTGGAACAGGTAATTCTGGAGAAGTGGTTGTTCACATAGAGACTGCTCGGGATGGATGGTGGGGTGGCCAGGGTCTGCAAACAGCTCCAGACACATCAGGGAGAATGTTGCCTTCCCTTATGCTTTAGAAACTTCAGCCTTAAATGTTCCTTCTCCCTCTTCTGCAGCCTGCTGAGGAGTGAACTGCCCTGGTCATGCAGGATAAGCAAAACTGGTCTTCACTAAGGACTTTGGCGGGGGGGAGTTTCCCATGAGGCCTGCTGCTGGCCATGTATGGCGAGAGATACGGTCTTTTCTTACGGCGTGTAGGCTGATCTTCTTCGTGGCTTGTGCTCAGTAAAGATGCAGCTCTGGAAGGAAAAGCCTGTGGGAAACTTGAATGATTGAACTAATTCTGCTTTAGCTTTAGCAGCCAAACACTATCTCATGTTAATAAGTACAAATGAACAGGCTATTTCTTCCTCAGCTACCTGCTAGGATTTTCAGCAGAAATTAGTTGTTTTCTGTTGCAAAAACTAACCCAGAGCAACCTATAGGACTGCAGGACTGCTGGAACAGAGCCTGTGGGTCCTGTCCCTTGCAGACGTATTCTTCAGCTACTACTGATAATGCTTTCCCTTGCAGCCCTCTCACAGAACTTTGCCATAAGTCACAAGGTCACAGTAGCTGTGCCTACAACTTTCTTGAATTAACTGTTTGTGTTGGGGTGGAGGAAAGGGGATCAGAAACAGCCCCTTGGGATATAACATTCAGTTGCCTACCTCTCATAGCAAGGTGGTTATTAAACCAATCACCTAACCTTTGTAAAAGATTAAATTATTTCCACCAAAGAGCAAGTCTCACACCATGGTCCATGACATACAAACCACCTCAGCTCAGAATCAGAATGCCTCATGGAGGTGCCTACTGCCAGTGTTTCTGCCAGCCCACCAGAACAGATTTGGGATGCCTGGCTTCAGGCCACAAGATGAAGAGGTTAGACACTAAATTAACATACAGCACATGGCATTCACTTGTCACACTGTGGATTCCTCAGTATATATGGCAACCTTTCTTAATAATTAAAGCCGATCATTAGACTATTATCACACTACTGCTATTGCTACTGGCAAAATCCATTCTGTTCCTGTAATATGTCAGACAAATTAGAAGAATTTTACCAGCTCATATAATCTGATGTATGTATTTACCAACAGTACTGGGTTGATGTTTACTTGTCTTGGGATCAGTATGCATACCCAGGAGTGCAGAACTTGCGATTTCCAGCCGACCAGATTTGGGTACCAGACATTCTTCTGTATAACAGGTAAGCGAGATGCGCGACAGCTGGTGTGAGCCTACAGCTAGGGCATTAGATGCTGGAAATCAGCCATGCTTCACTGATATTCTGGGACTTTTGCCATCTGAGGATTTGGTTTACTCTTGAATCAATAACAATAACAGCAAACAAGCACCAGCTAATAGATTTTTTTCTAATGGCCAATCTAAGTCTTCCTTGCTGTAGTTCTGAAGAGGTCTTCTTTACCTTTTCCCAGAGAACACAGAGAGAAAACAATCCACACTCTCCTTATAATTACCCTGGCTCTCGTGGAAAATTATTATCATGTCTCTGCCGTAGTGTTCCTGTCTTGATAAACAAATTAATTTTCTTCTCACTTTTCTCATCACTCACAGTTTATAATTCTCTCCATCATTCCTTTTCTCCTCTGAATGCTGTAATCTGTTTTTCCTCTTCTAGAGCTGAATCCAGCTCTCTAGACAGCACTTCTGCAGTGTTGAATGAAGACTCTCTAGACAGATATTTCCTTAATACTTTCCAGGAGGAGGGGGATTTGGTTTTGCTCTAACATCTTAGTTTTGGACTTATTTTTTGATCTATCACAAACCCCAGATGTTGTACTTCAGCATTGGTGTCTGACTAGAATTTCACTGATCTCTGTTTCTCTGACAGTTTTAAGAGTAATACATTCTAATCATCCAGACTGAATATGCCAGTTTGGGAAATCGGTTTCCCCAGTTCACCAAGATCCATTTTCCATTCCAAGCCCTCAATACAACCTATCTGAATGAAGCTTGGAGTCACCTGTATTGTTTAAGTGTTCCTTACTTCAGCTTTACTCCTCACAGTCCCTTTATTCTTTTTCAGTCACTAAAAAGGAGGCATATAGACTGGTCCATATTACTGTAGTTTATTTATAAGAACATGATGTGGCAAAAGCTTTCTGAAGTTCAGATCTATCACCTGCCTCCTCTTACTCGGTGGTCAGTAAGAAAATTAGATTCATTTGATGCGGTTAGCCCTCAACAAATCTGAGCCAGCTTTTTAAACTCATTATCTTTGAAGTTAGGCTGATGTGTCTATAATTTCACCTTTAAATAAAAAAATCAGAATTCTCTTTGATCTTCCCTAATTCACCGAGCCTTTCCTTGTTTGGCACAAGCTCTCACAGGTAATTGTTAATGCTTCAGAGGGTATTTTGGCCAGTCTCTTCAGTTCTCAAGAGTAAATTTCATAACCTTTGCCAAGCGGAGTCTGTGTTATCTACACTTCTTTAACCTGTTCCTCACCTATTCTGCTGTGGACTTCTGCCACTGTGTGAGAATTAATTGTGGCGAGCCACAGTTTGTGGAGAGTGAAGCACAGAGGGTGCATGATACTGCAGCTCTCTGCATCCTGTTGTTTCCTTTCCTGCTACAGCAAGTAATGGATCTATCTTGTCCTTTGTCTTTTGCTTGTTTCTTTGCATTTCTAAAAACATTTCTTGCTGCCTTTTATGTCTTTTGACAGCTATCACTCATTCTGCACTTGGCCTTTTCAGTTTTATCCTCTTTGTTTTGTGCTGGGGACAATACTGAGGACTGAAGACTCAGACATGAATAAAGAACAAGTCACAGGAGGAATGGAGGATCTGAATTTTCCACATCTGGTTGTGAGACGCAGTGTGTAAGATGGTGTTGTCATGCAACACAGACCTGCACATAGCCATGACAGGCAAAGCTCTGCAGCATCAGCCAGGGGTACCCTCTGCAGTCACTCTCTTCCCAAGCGACCTTCTGGAGTAAGCCCCCAGGCCTGGTCCCTTGAAGAATTGTCCTTTGCTGTCTCATAACTCCCTTATTTTTTTCAGAATTGCTCAAATCCTAAAGAAACTGTCTTTTCTTGATCCCTTTCATCTGTTTTCTGCTCTTAGAGTCTCAATGAATCTCCACCTACAAGCCCCCAATCTAAAACAACTTCTCCCCACTTCCTTCCTGCATTGCTTGAAGCAAACCTTGGCTCTTCTGCATCCCAAGAGACCATGGAATCATTGCCTCAGGCCACCGATACTCTTACAACAGATATCTGGGATCTGACAGCAGCCACAGGAAAGCCTCATCATCCTGACTGTCTGGTCTTTGGATACAGTTACTGTGATACTTTTGCTCCTTTCACTTCTGTCTTTTCTCCTAGACATATAACAGGTAGGACTGTCACTTCTTTGAAGACATTGCAGCGTGCAACCAGCATGCGTGGGTGCAGGCCAACGTTGTCTATGAGAAGCCAATACTGATCGAGGGTCAAATCTTCACCCGGGTGTAGGACCTTAATTCAGAAATTCTATGCATTAAATTCAGCCAGAAAGTTACTTTATGTTGACAGTTACTACATCTTAACTGAAACATCAGCTTGCTTTTTCTTTGTTTTGTTTTGTTTGTACTGTGTTATAGTGCAGATGAAAGATTTGATGCGACATTTCACACAAATGTGCTGGTGAATTACTCTGGATCCTGCCAATATATTCCTCCAGGTAGGGCACAGAGAGTATCTTTTTGCTTTAAGTCAATGTGTAGCTTTGAAAAATTACAAACAGCTTTCCTTCATTAATGAAACCAAGGTGTTTAGAAGGAGCCTGTGGAAATTTTGCAAGCTATGTAATTATGGGACAGACCCACTGAAATAATATAAGTCCATTACTAGTGGTGCATTTTCACTTTAGAAATCGATAAATTACTTTCCTGAGTGGTTTTGTTAGAACATTCAGAGACCCAGCTGTGGTGTAGTGTAAAGCAAGGTGGTGTGTACCCTCACATCATGTTTAATGTGCAATGCAGTTAGCTCTTTCTTGACAGTGGAGAGCCATGTGACCACAGGACACACCAAGAGCAGCACTCCCTCTGCGGTGAAGTTCTCCCTGCCTGGCTGAGACTACTACTCCAGGTGAAAAGACAAACAGACTAGTCTCAACCAGACAGACCCAAGTCTCATCTTGCTTTCCATCTGTAATGCCAATTCATGCTCTGTAGGGCCCAACAACCAGGACCTACCAGCAAATACACAGGTTATCCCCACAGTTGCTCACTGTGGTGGAACAAAAATGCCCAAAATTTGTGTCATAGCTGCTAGCAGACTGACCCCAAGTATGTCTATATGGCCCATCAGGGAACAGATGGATCTTCCTGATGGCTGGTCCTCTGTTGATGCCTAGCTTTGAGACCCCTTAAAGCATGCCTGTGGTTTCACTCAGACAAACCTGTGAGTGAGGTTGCTCTCTGGGGAGCAATATGAGACAGGAATAAAATTTGTGTGTACAAGGCAAAAACTTCTCTATCCCTTCAGGTAGGGAGGTGATGCAGGGGGTGCCTATATGGGCAGATCTGGTGTCCTGCTCATCTCGTGGTAAGCTATGAACTCCATGGTGAAGAACTGATAACTCAAGTACCCAAAGGAAGAGTAAAGAGAGAAAAAGTAATAACAGAAATCTGTTGTGTAAAGCACAGAAAATTCTTTGTTACCAGGATTTAACTATGGGCAAACTACTATGCAAAATTTTAGAAGGAAAAAGTTGTTAATTAGCCAACTCACTGGCAACAAGGGATCACAGAAGCAGCTGGATTAATCAAGACACTGGAAAACAAGGAAGAGTGGAAAAGATGTTTACAAACCTTCATTAAAGTTTTATTTCCCATGACACTGAGAGCAGGCTGTACTCCTGCTCTCCATTAGAGAAAAAAGGTAGGAGAAGGCAGGATAAAGGACAAGAAGAGGACAGCTGTCTGCTGTTAAGGAAAGGAGCATAGCCAGGATTTAGGGGAAACTGGAAGAAAAGCCTCCATGTAGCCCATCCAAAAATGGCCAATGATGGTGGGAGTCAGACCTCCCAGAACATAAAGGGGCAAATGAAAGGGAATCCAGCCACCCCGGAGCTGCAGTGGTTGTGCGGGGACATGGTCTTGCACACATGGTTATGCCACGATGCCCTCAGCCTTCGCAGCAGCAGGCAAAGACAGTATTCAAGAATCTCTGTTTTGAGAATTTTATCATAAAAAGACATGGCTTAGGAACTTGCTGCAAAACACCAAACTCCGCTCACGTGGCTCAGAGCTGGGATTCACATTAGCTGGTGTTTTAGGGAGCACACAGGAACAATTACTGCAAACAGGTAGGCTAAGTGCAGCATTGAAGATAGTATTCCAAGGAAGCAGAAGCTGCCTGTCTTTCACACAGTGCCTCTAGACTGGCCAGCATGCAGTGAGCTGGTAAGGTGAAGGCTGCAAAGCTGCAGGCCCATTGGGGTGAGGGTTTGCAGGGAGGATGTCTGTGTTTTGCCACCAGCTGCCAGTGATGCAGGCTGCTCATATTATCTTCCACGCTCTCCAAGCCCTCCATGCAGCCAGGCATGGAAAAAAAAAGGAAAAAAGATTAGTTTTCAATGATATAAAAGTGTTAATTTCCTAAACTGCTTAAAATGTCACACAGAATAATGATGGTGGACTAGACACAACCAGGGTAAAATTCAAGGCCCAGATTAACAAACAGAAGATAAAGGTCAACACTGAGCATGGTTTAGCATAGCAATGTATTTTCAAGGGACTGTGGATCTAATGCAGGGCCTGACATTAGACCCACAGTCTAACAGGAACTCCTGTTAAAGAGCTTGTCACAATACTTTGAGGGGCAGTACATGGACATCTATGTACCCTATATTCCTGTCAGGTCCTGCAGCACTGCCTGTGATCTGCTGGGGCCAGCCAGCACTTGGAGACAGGCTGGGCTGCTCCTGGGTGAGGAGAGTGTACTGGGTAGCCTACCTTAAGGATGCAATGAAAGAGAGAGGGACCTTCACTGGTGCCCCAGGAAGGGAGGTTATTCCACTCATGGCAGCGTCTTCCATCTGCACTACTTCTTTGGTTACTCCATGACTATATCACACAGGCTTCTGGAGAAGAATATTGCTTACAGTCAATCGACCAGCTAAGGGTAGAGGTGAATTGCACCCTGCACACATATGATTCTGACTGATTTCTGTCCACAGGCATTTTGAAGAGCACATGTTACATTGATGTCCGCTGGTTCCCATTTGATGTGCAGAAGTGTGATTTGAAGTTTGGCTCCTGGACTCACAGTGGCTGGTTGATTGACCTGCAGATGCTTGAGGCTGATATTTCCAACTACATTTCAAATGGAGAATGGGATTTAGTGGGTAAATCAGCTGGCCTAAAAAAAATTCAGTAGTGTAATTTTCAAAGGCAAACCCCAAACATATAAAATTGGTTAATCCTGCTGGAAAATGAAATACAGATATTAAAAGTTTCTATGTAAAAGGCAGCAACAAAGAAACCCCACAGTTCTGGGACAACCTTTCAGCTGCATTCATTGAACTGTGTCTGAAAACAGTATGTCCTGCAGCAATTGCCTGCAACTGAGTACATAAATGAAATCCACTGCTCCTGATGCATATGAGCAGTTTGTCAGTACTAAATTTGGATGCGTCTCATGTAGGTGCACAGAACACTACTGTCACATCTGTTCTAACACGTCAGCCAAAAATTGATTGGTGTAAAAACCAGTATTTCATCAAAACTGGAATAAGCTTTTATCAGTTTGGGGTTTTTTTTCTCTCTTACCCAGAAAACCATCAAAGTGTCTACCAGTTCATAACTGCAAATAACTGCAGTTCAGTATGTCTGTCTTTCCTTCTGTGCTTTGGAAGATACCTGTACTTTTAAAAGAGATGCTAAGAACTAGATATTTGGAGTGAGCTCCTACTGAGATATTTTGAACTCATTTATGTAGCTGTAAGTCAGAAGCAATGCTATTGAAATTGATAGAGCTTAGACCACCCTAAGGACAGCTTGCAGAAGGGACATTTCATGTTCTAGTTGGAATATGAAGACAAGGAAATAACTGTCACTGACCAACTGCATGCAGTAATTTTACCATTCAGGGGATCTGAGAAATAATACAATAAGAAACATAATCGACATTCAGTTTCATGAGAAGCTGAAGGACTTTGCAGGGAAGTCCTCCTAAAGTCCACTCATTTCAGAGCATACCTGTCTTTCTAGTTCTCCTTTATAGTGGTTATTTCTGATAAAAACAGATATTGCGTATCTAATTAAGAGGCTGGCCTGTGGTTTATCTGCCTTCAACCATGACCAGGGGTGGGCAAAACAGTCCCTTATCTAGATCATACAGCAAAAGCGTTGTTACACCTCAGGCAAGCCATGACCATATCCTTTATGTGGACTTTGCGACACTCCTGCCAAAACTTACACAGTCACATCTTCTGTCATGTGCACAGAAACAGAGAAGAGGTTGAGTAATGGTGAAACTGGTGGAATGGTGGAAATGGAGGAATAGTGGAAAAGGTGCTGAGTTCTTCCAGCTCCCCTGACATTTTCTGTGCTGCTGCAATCCTTTTCCTGCAACATCTGTCTGCTGCAGCTGAGTCAACATGGCCAACACATGTACAGTGTGTCCAATACAGCAGTACAGCTGTATTGGACAACTGTGTCTCTTAACCTTCAGATATGACAGACGTTAAGATTAACTTGATACCCTCTTGAAAATTAAGCCATATCCTGTTGGATTTTTCTGACAAAAGAAAGCAAACATGTATGAGAATGATAGAAAAATAAAAACCAGTGGCAGTTGTCACACAGAAAATCTGTGGCATGGGCTAGTGAACATATCAGATGTTTGTGACCATTCCCTGGGTGCAGGGCATGTGAGTGCATGCGAGTTAATCTTTGGCCACTGCTCGCAAATATTTCCTTGTTGAGGTTGGGATGCTCAGAACTTTTCTGATCTGGCTTACATGATCTTTCTGAGCTGGGCCAGGTTGTAATGACTCTGACTCTCCCACGATCCAAGGGGAAATGGCTAGCAACCTGCTGCACCACTTAGACACGTCTATTGGGCGGGATGGGATCCAGCAAAGGGTACTGAGGGAGCTGGTGGAAGTGTTCACCAAGCCACTTTCCATCATTTGCCAGAAGCCCTGGCTAACCATGGAGGTCCTTGTTGACTGGAAGGTAGCCAGTGTGACACCCATCTAAAAGAAGAGCCAGAACGAGGATCTGGGGAACTACAGACCTGTCATACTGACTTTGGTGCCAGGGAAGGTTATGGAGCAGATCATCATGAGTGTCTTCGTGCAGCATGTGCAGGATAACCAGGCAATCAGGCCAGTCAGCATGGGTTTATGAAAGGCAGGTCCTGCTTGATGAACCTGATCTCCTTCAGTGACATTGTGAACATTGTGTGGATGTAGCCTACCTGGAATTTAGTAAAGTCTTTGACAGTGTTTCCATAGTATACTCCTGGAGAAACTGGCTGCCCATGACTTGGATGGATGTACTCTTTGCTGGGTAAAAAACTGGCCG